CAAAAGGTCGAGTTACACCAAGGATGAATTTGGCCCTGAGTTTCTATATACTATACCTGTTATATTTACAGGACCATAACATATTTAAAAACCTATGTAATTCTCAACCCACCCGTAACAGTATTGCAATATATATTGCAGATTATTATAGGTGGGAATGGTTGCGCTGCCTATTAAGGTTGCCCAACACTTCTCACTAAAAAAAAAAAACGAACTGTTTTTAGTGGTTTATAGCTTTGCCAAACTTTAACCACTTAGGTTAAAATTATCCATGCTGTTGTCTGCCTCAGACTGATTTTTCCAGAAATTTTCAGCAAAAAGGGTTCAGCTGTTCCAAGAATGAGGCTGGGGGAAAAATATGTTCTTTTACCCATGTTACAAAATGCTGGTGACCTCTTTGAAAAGCTCTAGCTCTCCCATGCTTTATAGCAGGGACTCAAAATTTGGTAGGAAGGTAACCGGTCAGGGATGTGCCTTCTTCCCTCTCTATGAAAAATTTGACCAAGTTATAAACTTTTGAAAAAAAATCAGTGTGCACATGCTCAGCAGAGACTTGCTAGAGCTTAATAGCTAAAATTTCCAAAGGTTCCATCCTCACTGAGCATGCTTGAGCCTCTCAAGTCCTAGTGTTCCAACTAAAGTCAATGGGAGTGCACTTTGAACACAAAGTGCTATACAATGCAAAGTTCTCTGAAAAATCAGGTCCTAAGCATTTCAATTTGGACATACAAAGCTAGTGGACATTTCTGACCTTAATCTTTGTGCCTGTGTTCCCCTTTGTCAACTGGAGATAATACCACCCTCCTCACCTCACAGGGGAGTGGTGAAAATAAAGTCATTATTCTTTGTGAAGCATTCAGATTCTATAATGATGAGCACCACAGATAAACCATAAGGAAAGCAATAATTCTGTCTGCTGACCAGGATTTGAATAGTGTGCACTAAATAATGCATAGGGCCACACAGTATTGAATAGCTGCTGTGTAACTACTTTTATTTAGCATGTTCATGGTCATCTAGCCAAGCGATGGCATCTTCAGTGACGCGGTGCAGTTCTTCGAGGCCATCGCTGAACATAATCAGCAGGCACTCATTGACAATGTGTGTCATCGTCTGTGTTGCGCCGCAGCTGCACAAGGGGTTGTCACAAAGGCCCCAGCAATACTGGTTGGCTGCACAGAGACCATGCCTGGTCTGGAACCTGTTCAACAGGGACCATTCGTGACAGGGCAGGTCAAAACCAGGAGGGCAAATTGTGGGGTTGGCGACAAGGCACTGTTTGGGGATTATAACAGATATCCATTCCTCTCACCAGAGTGTTTCCGCCCTAACATCCTGGCATGGTGGATGAGACCATAATGGGTGACGTGACAGCAAACGTGCAGCTGGTGGTTTAAAAAAGTCATTGTGCAGCGGCAGGCTTGAGCTGGCACGTACTTTCTCCAGTAACTTGCCAGTGGCAACCTCTCGTCTGATATGAGGAGGAGCAATATTGCTCAGAACGAGAAGCCCTGGGAGTGGTGTCGGACGCAGGGTGCTGGAGATGATACGCTTGGCGGCATGTAACTGTGTATCCACCAGTTTGGTGTGTGACAATTGACTCCAAACTGGTGCGCAGTACTCCGCCACCCAATACGAGGTGGCAAGAGCTGACGTCCACAAAGCTGGAACACGAGTACCCCATGATGAACCTGCCAGTTTGCTAAGAAGATTGTTGTACATCTTAACTTTAGCTGCTGTCTTCTTCAGGTGGGCATGTTAACTCTGTGTGTGGTCTAAGGTCACACCTAGATAGACCGGTTCTACTTCATGCTTCGCCTTCTGACCATTCAGATAAACACTGTCTATCCTATGTACTAAATGAGGCAGGGAGCCTGTGGAAAAAATAGTATCTGATCATGTAATTAAAGTTTGTATCAAAACGCATACGCACTAAGGGGTCAAATTTAGGATGTATAAGCATAGTTAATTCTAGCATTTCATATCTTTTGAGTGCTTGAATTTGCACCTTTGTTAATTTTTCTGTGTTATATTTTATAACAGTGGAATAATTAAGTATGAAAATGCCACTTGCTGTTCCATAGTTGAGAGCATTGAGATTGGCACTTTAAGCAGGGATTCAGCTACTTGGTTATATATGAAAATGCACCTTATCCTCCCCAAAGTTACAGAATTTTCAGTACTGAATGAATTTTCTGAGAATTTGCAAGTAAATGTGTTAATAAATTTAGGAGTTAATTTTAAAATGAGTCCTTTAAGAAATTTACCACTCTGGGTCAGACAAATTTTTGGCATGAACAATCTTTATAATAGAATAATTAAGACCTTTCAAAATTTCCCATATAGTTAAAACTCATTGAAATTTCATACCTGGGCTATAATTTTTTAAAAATTATGATTACTGAACTTTTTGCCATTACTTTTCAAACTGAAACTTAAGTCTTCAGCAGGGGCTGATGAGTAGTGTTCTATTACTGAGAACTTCGCTCTTTCAAAAAAGGCTCCATTCGTTCTCAATGGGAGTGAGGCAAAAATGCCTTTCGAGAAAATGTTCACCCAGGGCAGAAATTGTATTAAATAATCATCATTGTGAACAGTCAGACCATGCGATATAATGTTGTAAGATAACAGTCTCATCTCCGTGGTAGCTACAGTGAGACTCATTCAAGCAGGCAATGGTCTCACCCACTCAGACATGGATAGATCTCCAGTGCAGAAGACACACCAAAAATGTAAAAATCACGTCCATGTCCTTGCCTGATCATCACTTCCTTAAAAGAGAAGTTCTCCCCAACGCCTTTGATTCTAGAAGCAGGAAGAACCACACAGTGCCACCCTTGACGCTCATGGACTTTGTAAGAATTACTATACTCCAGGCCAGAGAATACTATCCTTCTCCAAAATCAGTTCTGGTAAAACATCAGGACCTCACCATTCACAGCTGACACACTGGCCCCAAACATGTATCAGCATACTACCTGGACAGAACACCATGGTTCTCAGATACACCCAGCGAGTTTAAGCACAAGGGCATAAGGCTGGAGCACCAAGGGGTAATGACCAGCTGAGAATTGGACCACATGCAGTATAAGGAATTCACATGAACTAGTGTCACTGAGGTGATTGAAGTCTAAAGACACTTCTTCTTGACCATAAAAATGTGAGCAAATTTTGAACAACTTAATTGTTCCAAATCTTCACTTGTGCAGTGAATTTAGATTGCCTCTTAGTTACAGTTTGGCCACCTCTAACTGTGAGATACATCCCATCTACTGAATCTGAGCGTCTCTTGGGATCTGAAACAAGTGTTTGACATTGCACATCAGACTGGATGAGGGGCCACCACTTCCCGCAGCTCCCATTGGCCAGGAACGGTGAACCGCGGCCACTGGGAGCTGCGAGCGGCCATACCTGCAGACGCTCAGGTAAACAAAGCGTCTCGCGGCCCACCAGGGGCTTACCCTGAACAAGCCGCGAACCAAATTTGGGAACCCCTGGACTGGACCCACTCACTGCAGATGGAGATATTAAAAGACACCCAAAGGTCTGTGCCTTTAACTGAGAGCTAGATAAAAAATGTCTTTTACAGTCAGAAGCCCACATTTTAAATTTAGGCACTCACATTATGGCAACCAATTTACAATGGTGGCTTCACAAAATGGCATTTTGGCTCTCAAAACAAGTACCTGAGTAGCTATATGCTTGTTTCGGTGCTTATATGAGGAAATGACTATCTTTGCTTACATATCAACTATAAAGACTAGGCTTTCTATACAGAACATTTCTGTGTTTTGGCTAAACAGCTGAAAATTAAATTCCTGGGTTTTCATTTATTTTTTGTAGTTCATAATTAGGTTTTACTAACGTATCTCTCAGGTGAAAAACATCCTCCAAAAAATTACTTTAATCAACTCATCTTGGAACAGCCATTTCACAACAGTAGAAAAAGAGCCTGAAACATGAGGTCTGGTATAAGAGGCCTGAACTAAAGTAGTGGTCAAGCCTTGCTGATATAAAGCAAAGTTAGTAAAAGTCAGGTTATGAGCAGAAGTCAGGCCCTGTCACAAAACGTATCTGGCAAGAACAGCACTGGCATGGAAAAAAACCCACACATTCCTAAGTAGTCCTAGGCACAGGACAATCACGCAAACACATTTCAGAAGGGTGGTACCAGAACACCCTGATACAGTGTTATGATGTATTATCTTCAGGGAGTGTGTTTACAAGGACACACTGACCCTCTGTTAAATATAAGATTAGGATGAAGGTGATGAATAGAGATGTTCTGATCGAATCAACATGTTCAAGGTAAACTGAGGTAATTAACCACCTCAGAGGGACAAGACATAACTTGATTTTATCAGTGTAGAAAAGAAGGGTCACAGAGGGTTTGTCTTTGTCCAGTCGAGGCGAGGGATGGAAAGTCCCGCCATTCACTGAGCTGGTCCATTGTTACAGCCATACATGTATTAGTGGTCCTGTAAAGTCTCCGGGACACTAGGACCATGCTTCATTGACTATAAACCTGGCCAGGTGCCTTGGCTACTGCAATGTGTCTGTGGTTTTATTGGGCAGTTCGATTGAGATCCACTGTGTCCACTATCTGTGCAGAGGTGGGACAGCATACTGAAAGAACACACATGCAGCCAATGACTAATTATAGTAGGAAAACAAAACACACAACACACCACACTCAATCATCCTTGTGTGCTTTGTTGAGCAAACACTAAGTCAGCTGAATTCAGTAAGTGTGTGGATTACATTACAATTTAAACCTCATATTGTATGTGTAAATTATGAAAAATTATTAAAAAGCTACTTAGTGCTACTATGGTTTGATAATTGTAACTGACCAGAAGAGAAATGTTCGTAGTTAGAATCCTAAATGACCTGACTGACTACATAATGTCAGAGAAGGAAAAGCCTGGCTCCCCAAGAAGGTACAACTTGAGCATCTCTATGAGGATTTTCAAGTGTTATTTTTATTTTCAATTTCTTACCATTTCTTCAGAGGTAAGATGAATCAGACGTTCAGCTACTGCAGAACACTGGGAAGAGTCCATGATGAATTCTCCTCGTGCGTCACCTACTATAAGCTCTGGCCACATGGGTCCTTCATCCTTCTTAATTAGAGAAATCTCCAAACTAAAGGATAGATATGGGGTTGGAAGGTAAGAGTATATGTAACATTACAGATAATATCACTACGTTCTCAAGCTGACAATCACCACCTCTAAATGTGGATTTTAGAGGGGGAAAAGGATTAATAATCCAAAAATTATATCCTAATTTTTGCCATTCACATAATTTGCAATAAAAAGTTGCCTTTTGTAGTTACTCCAAAGTAATGATATCCATCAGAAAGTCAAAACAAAAATAGATACATCTAGAGTTTTTTTCACATATTCCAAGGCCAGAAGGGACCATTGTGATCATTTAGTCTGATCTCCTGAATAACTTCTCCAAAATAATTCCTAGATCATATCTTTCAGAAAAAGATCCAAGTTTGATTTAAAAATTGTTAATGAAGGAGAAAAGACCAAGACCCTTGGGTAAGTTGTTCCACTGATTAATTACACTGTTAAAAATGTATGCCTTACTTCCAGTCAGAATTTGTCTAGTTTCAATTTGCAGGCATTGGATTATGTTATACCTTTTCTCGGCTAGATTGATGAGCTAATTATTAAATATTTGTTCCCTATGTAGGTTCTTATAGACTGCAATCAAGTAACCCCTTACCTTTCTCTTGTGGCGTTAAATAGATTGAGCACCTGGAGTCTACAACTATAAGCACGTTTTCTAATCCTGTAATCTTTCTTGTGGCTCTTCTCTGAACCCTCTCCAATTTATCAATATCTCTGGACACCAGAACTAGACACAGTATTCCAGAGTGGTCAACAACAGGGCCAAACACACATGTAAAATTACCTCTCTGCTCGAGAAACCCCTCTTTATAGCTCCCAGAATTCCATTAGCCCCTTCAGCCAGTGTTGTACTGGGAGCTCATGATGAGCAGATTCTCCACCACTTCCCCCAATTCTTTTAGAGTCTCGCTTCTTCCTAACAGAGTCCCCCATCCTGTAAGTATGGCCTGTGTTCTTTATTCTTAGATGTATACATTTATATATAGTCATATTAAAATGCATAGTGAATTTTCACCTAACTTAAGAAACCCTTATTCCTCTGTCTCAGTGACCTGTCCTCTTCATTATTTGCCACTTCCCCAAAATTTTTGTCATTGGCGAACTTAATTAGCAATGATTTTTTGTTTTCTTCCAGGTCACTGATAAAAATGTTAAATAGCTAGGACCAAAAACTGATGTCTGCAGGATTTCACTAGAAACACACCCACTCAATGATGATTCCCCCTTAAAAATTACATTGAGACCTATCAGTTAGCCAGCTTTTAAAGCACTTCTTGTGTGCCATGTTAATTTTATATCTTTCCAGTCTTTTAATCAAGTTGGCATGTACTACCAAGTCAAATGCCTTACAGAAGTCTGTATATTACATCAACATCTTAATCGACTTTAAGAGTCTAAATACAGAAAGACTTATTTCTGTGAATCCTCATTGTTCCGGAGTTTTCATTTTAAATTTAGTGTCATTAAAGTAGGTATTAAAATTGTGTGTGTGTGTGCGTGTGTGTGTATGTGTGCGTGTGTATATATATATATATATATATATATATATATATGGTTGATCACAATTAACTCACACGAGTAACTTAAAAAAATTAAAATTATGATTAATCGCACTGTTAAACAATAGAATACCAATTGAAATTTATTAAATATTTTTGGATGTTTTCCTACATTGTCAAATATATTGATTTCTATTACAACACAGAATACAAAGTGTACAGTGTTCACTTTATTTTTTATTACAAATATTTGCACTGTAAAAGTGATAAACAAAGGAAATAGTATTTTTCAATTAACCACATTCAAGTAGTGTATGTGTCGCAGATGACACTAAGCTGGGGGGAGAGGTTGATATGCTGGAGGGTAGGGATAAGGCCCAGAGTGACTTAGACAATTTGGAGGATTGGGCCAAAAGAAATCTGATGAGGTTCAACAAGAACAAGTGGAGAGTCCTTCACTTAGGAAGGAAGAATCCCATGCACCGCTATAGGCTGGGGACCAACTGGCTAAGCAGCTGTTCTGCAGAAAAGGACCTGGGGATTACAGTGGACAAGAAGCTGGATATGGGTCAGCAGTGTGCCCTTGTTGCCAAGAAGGCCAACAGCATATTGGGCTATATTAGTAGGAGCATTGCCAGCAGATCAAGGGAAATGATTACTCCCCTCTATTCAGCACTGGTGAGGCCACACTTGGAGTATTGTGTCCAGTCTTGGTCCCCCCACTACAGAAGGGATGTGGACAAATTGGACAGAGTCCAGCGGAGGGCAACGAAAATGATCGGGGGGGCTGGGGGACATGACTTACGAGGAGAGGCTGAGGAAACTGGGCTTATTTAGTCTGTAGAAGAGAAGAATGAGGGAGGATATGATAGCTGCTTTCAATTACCTGAAAGGGGGTTCCAAAGAGGATGGATCTAGACTGCTCTCAGTGGTAGCAGATGACAGAACATGGAGTAATGGTCTCAAGTTGCAGTGGGGGAGGTTTAGGTTGGATATTAGGAAAAACTTTGTCCCTAGGAGGTTGGTGAAGCACTGGAATGGGTTACCTAGGGAGGTGGTGGAATCTCCTTCCTTAGAGGTTTTTAAGGCCCGGCTTGACAAATATTTGTAATAAAAAAATAAAATGAGCACTGTACACTTTGTATTCTGTGTTGTAATAGAAATCAAAATATTTGAAAATGTAGAAAAACATCCACAATATTTAAATAAATGGTATTTTATTATTGTGTAACCGAGCGATTAAAACTGTGATTAATCAGGATTATTTTTTTTAAATCATTTGACAGCCCTACATCTAATTTATATCACCAATTATTTAACTTCTCAGTTTGATCTAGTAAGCCTAGAATAACTCTTGAGAGAATTTCAGGGTGTTGGGCATATGTGTATGTAAGGGAAGGTGTCTTGTTTTGTTTTGTTTTTCTAAATAGGTAATTGCTCAAGATTTACACTTCACAATGGAGGCGCAAACCAATAAGCCATATATTATTTTTCTCAAAACAGGATGCTGTTGATACCTAATTGTTTATTTTTCACTCTGTAATTCACTACTACTAACTCTGCCTCTGTATTAAAATAGAAATTCAATACTACGACAAACATAATTAAAAACATTGGTGTAGGCTCATTCCTATTAAACTCCTATGCAATTTGCATTAGGGTCCAGCTGCCACCCTGAACATGTAATCACAATAGCTCTCACACAGTGAAGGTAGCAATAAAAACTACCCTGATTTAACATATTGTATCTGCTGTACTTGGTTCATGAAAAAAGATTGGTTTGCTAGAAGTCACAGATATTCTGAGAATACCAGTTTCTAAGAAGTTTTCCAATGAGATAAACTGGATAATTCCAGTTCACAGTAAGATAGTGTTTTACAATATCTGCCTCGTTAATAAAATGTTGAATCCTAATATGATGAAAAAAAAATCTTAAAATATTCAAATAAAGTTGCGTGTTCTTGGGGGGAAAAAGGCCCCAAAGTCACAAAGTTCAAATCCATATCTGAACTTTTTCAAAGTTCTGGAACTGTGAGGAGGTTTCAGATGTTGGGCTTGGTTTTTGATAAGGGTGTTTTTTTTTCAAAAAAAAAAAAAAACCCACAAAGACCCAAATACATACTAGCTAGCCTCAACTTTAGCAAAGCTTTTGATACGGTCTCCCACAGTATTCTTGCCAGCAAGTTAAAGAAGTATGGATTGGATGAATGGACTATAAGGTGGATAGAAAGCTGGCTAGATTGTCAGGCTCAATGAGTAGTGATCAATGGCTCGATATCTAGTTGGCAGCTGGTATCAAACGGAGTGCCCCAAGGGTCGGTCCTGGGGCAGATTTTGTTCAACATCTTCATTAATGATATGGATGAGGGGATGGATTGCACCCTCAGCAAGTTCGCGGATGACACTAAGCTGGGGGAGAGGTAGATATGCTGGAGGGTAGAGATAGGGTCCAGAGCGACCTAGACAAATTGGAGGATTGGGCCAAGAGAAATCTCATGAGGTTCAGCAAGGACAAGTGCAGAGTCCTGTACTTAGGATGGAAGAATCACATGCACTGCTACAGGCTGTGGACTGACTGGCTAAACAGCAGTTCTGCAGAAAAGGACCTGGGGGATTACAGTGGACAAGAAGCTGGATATGAGTTAGTGTGCCCTTGTTGCCAACAAGGCTAATGACATATTGGGCTGCATTAATAGGAGCACTGCCAGCAGATCAAGGGAAGTGATTATTCCCCTCTATTCGGGATTGGTGAAGCCACAGCTGGAGTACTGCGTCTAGTTTTGGGCACCCCACTACAGAAAGGATGTGGACAAATTGGAGAGAAAGTCCAGCAGAGGGTAACGAAAATAATTAGGGGGCTGGGGCACATGATTTATGAGGAGAAGCTCAAGGAACTGGGCTGAATTAGTCTGCAGAAGAAATAAGTGAGGGGAGATTTGATAGCAGCCTTCAACTACCTGAAGGGTGTTCCAGTGGTGGCAGATGACACAACAAGGAGCAATGGTCTCAAGTTGCAGTGGGGGAGTCTAGGTTGGATATTAGAAAAACTAATTCACTATGAGGGTGGTGAAGCACTGGAATGGGTTACCTAGGGAGATGGTGGAATCTTCATCCTTAAGAGGTTTTTAAGGCTAGGCTTGACAAAGCTCTGGCTGGGATGATTTAATTGGGGTTGGTCCTGCTTTGAGCAGGGGGTTGGACTAGATGACCTCCTGAGGTTTCTTCCAACCCTAATTTTCTATGAACTGTTTAGGCTCCCAAGGAGACCATTTAGAGATAATCTGTGAAGAGACCACTTGCCCCTTCATACGACACAAACAGGCAAGGCGAAGCACAAAACAATTTAGTCCTGTCCAAATAAAAGGCCAGACATTGCCTCACATCTAGCGTATAGAAGAGACACTGCTCCTCCGGAGATGAATGTGGCTCAGGAAAGAACACAGGTAAATACACTGCCTGCTTCAAATAAAACAGATATCACTTTACACAAAAATTGTGTTTGTGGTCATAAAGTCACCTGGTCCTTGGAGAACGGTGTATAAAAAGGCTCAACCAGTAGAGCCTGCAACTCGCACTCACTTCTTATGGATGTTATCACTATCAGGAACACAGTCTTCTGACACAAAAGCAGAAAGGGACAAATAAGATGCAGGGGCTTGAACCGAGGTCCCATTAGAGCTGTTAGGAACATGTTAAGGTCCCACAGAGGAACCAGCTCTGAGACTGGACAATGAAGATGAAGAACACCTTTTAAGAATCTTGCTATCATGGTATTGAAGAAGACTGATATTCCTTGACTGAGGGATGAAACGCCACTAACACTGCCAGATGCACTCTCAATGAGCTAAGTGCAAATCCCAAGGACTGAAGGTACAGCAAGTATTCCAAGATGTCCTGAATAGAAGTCACCATTGGGTGAAATCCACAGGCCAACAACCACATCAAAAACAGCTTCCATTTAGCTAAATAAGCCATTCTGGTAGAGGGCTTTCTACTGTTGAGTAGGACCTGTTGAACAGATGCTGAACACCATTCTTCCTCCTCATTTAGCCATGAAGCAGCCATGCTGTGAGATGCAGGAAGCTAAGCATGGGATGTAAGTTTTGTGTGAATAGGTCAGGATGGCAAGGAAAGGAGAGGCTGAATTGACAATGCAAGAAAGTTGGAGAACCACAGGAGAGCCAACTGCCAGCTGAGATGGAAAGCTTTGGACAGGGAGCCAGGGATGAGGCCCCCTTGAGAGCAGATCAGATGATATTTCCTGCTGTGTCTCGTGGCAAACAGATCGATCATCAGAATGCCCCAAGCTGCAAAGATGACCTACAGGATGAAGTCCTGGCAAGGTCCTGGACCAGTGGAAAGTTCAGGAAGAAAGGGAGAACAGGTCCATTGCCTCCTGATACACCGCTGGCACAAAACCAGACAGTACTGGCATTGCCCTTGTCAGTATAGGACTCAGACACCTTGGGCCTGGAAAGGGAGTCAAAGGTAAGGGGTCTCTTTCCTCCCTCTATTGTACTGCGGAGCAGTAGACGGGACCTGCTCCATCCCATAAACCGGCATTCACACCGTGCTGGTCCACACTCCTTCGGGAGGAGGCAGACAAGTCTCCACGCGACCAGGAATGGCCACGATTGGTCTTATGTGACCTTTTCCTCGGTACACTTGATGGGAAGCAACTCCTCAGACCTTTCGGAGAGGCGCAAGCTCTAGGATGTGAAATGGAAGCTCCCTCAAAACTGAAGGGTGATCTCTGATCCAACATGGGACTCCGAGCTAACCAGACTGTAAGGCCTGTTTGAGCAGGTGCTGCTTTAGACAAAGATCCATCGTAATCTGAGTTCGCTTTGTGAATGATTTGCAAATCAAACACCTTTCCTTGCCGTGGGCTTCACCTAAGCACAGCAAGCACGTGTGTGGGGATTACTCCTCCACACGACGGACATGTTAAAACATTGGTGAGGGCATCACCAGGGCAATACTTCAACTAAAGCTAATGAATACTAAATCTAACTAACATTATACTTAGGTACTAATTAGGGCTATTAATCACAATTAATGCAAAAGATGAATTCAAAACAAATTAACTAGATATTTTTATTTATCGCAGTTTGAATTGCATTGTTAAACAACAATAAAATACCAATTTAAATTTATTATAAATATTTTTGGATGTTTTTCTACATTTTCAAATATATTGATTTCCATTATAACACAGAACACAAAGTGTACACTGCTCACTTTATATTATTTTTTATTACAAATATTAGCACTGTAAAAAAGATCATTGAAAATACTGCTTCTTTTAATCTCATACAAGTACTGTAGTACAATCTCTATCATGAAAGTGCAACTTACAAATGTAGAATTATTATTTTTGCTTTAGAGCATATAAAACGAAGCATGAAGGGGCATACGAACGTTCAGCATATCTGGCACATAAACAACTTGCAATGCCACCTACAACAGAGCCATGCAAACACCTGTTCTCACTTTCAGGTGACATTGTAAATAAGAAGCGGGCAGGATTATCTCCCATAAAAGTAATCAAAACATGTCTGTCTCAGCGATTGGCTGAACAAGAAGTAGGACTGAGTGGACTTGTAGGCTTTAAAATTTTACATTGTTTTGTTTTTGAGTGCCATTTTTTAAAAATATAATTCTAAATTTTGTAAGTTGCACTTTGATGATAAAGAGATTGCACTACAGTACTTGTATGAGATTAAAACAGTATTTTTCAATTGTCTTTTTTACAGTGCAAATATTTGTAATAAAAAATATAAAGTGAGCAGTGCATACTTTGTATTCTGTGTTATAATGGAAATCAATATTTGAAAATGTAGAAAAACAGCCTAAAATATGTATAATATAAATTGGTATTCTATTATTAACAGTGCGATTAAAATTGTGATTAATCATGACTATTTTAATTGCACAATCAATTGCAATTAATTTTTTTAATTGTTTGACAACCCCAGTTCTAATTAGCTGTGTACAACTAGAAAAGTCACTAAGAAGTAGAGAAGTTGTGAGGTTAGAACCACACCGAGGTCCCACTCCAGCGATAGGCAGTAAGAAGGAACGGGGGGGTCGGAAGGGGCAGTCGAACAGTGCCGTCTCACATAGCCAAGGAAGGGGCTGTGGCCACTAGGTATGAGTGCTGGCCGTCTATGGGTACTGCTAGGCAAAATTTTTTGGCTCCAGTGCACTGGGCAAGTGGAATACATGGCTGTACCTACTCGAAGAACTCTTCATTTTCAAAATTGCTCTTGGAAGGAAAAGGACCATGTTTTGAACAATAAGGGAAATAACTTCATACCCAGTTGGAACAGAATCCACGCCTCGATATAAAAACAGATTCAGATTGGAAGCAATTTTTTCAGCTAACTGGATGCTGAGAACTATCTATCTGCTTCTCAGGCTGCCAAACATATGCAGTACAGTCACCTACCCAATAATAAATGGTCTCTTATTGAAAAAAAAATAAAAAAAATGAAGCTCTGGTGTCAGAATATTAGACTGTGAATACAGAAGACCAGATTCTGATCTCATCTGATGTTTGACATTGAATCAGCATGAGCTGCACTTGACTCCGTGGCTTTCAGAAGAACACTACAGATGTTCTTGGCTGCCCACTTTTGCTCATAGAACAAAACCTAAAGCGAACCACGCTAGTTATTTGGCCGTCCCTATTGATTTGCTCTCTCTTCTTGAAAAAGTTTTAAAATTAATATTTGTGTCAACAATTCCCTGACATACACTGCAGTTTGATACTTAATGCAGTATAATTTTATATTTAAACAAAATTAATTTCCATGCATATTATGCTCTTAATGATACGTTAAAAACAATAAAAACACTGCGACACAAAATACTGGAAAGGTCAACAGGGCAGAACAAGGTGGTAAATTCAATCACCAAAGGTCAATTATTTTAGAAAAGCAGCAGCTGCACCATTGTCAATTGTAAAAACAAATTATTTTTGAAGATATACATTAATTCAACTCCTCATTTAAGGTCAGACTAGATAATCATAATGGTCCCTTTTGGCCTTAATGTCTATGAAGATATGAATATTAAGAAGGTTGAAAAAAGGTTTGAATATTTTTGCCAAGTTTCCTGAGGTGGCATAACCATTTGGCTCCCAGATTTGTCTTTCTTTAGCTGTCTGATTGAACAGCCTCTTTCCAAACTAAGAGGCTACCAGAGAGCATTTCCCACTAAGATGTCACAAATCTTTGCTCCAGAAAGAAAATGTTGAAGAATTTTCCATCCCATAAGTAGCCCTCCATTGTACACCTATCTAAATACATCAAATTAAACCATTCTGAATAGTGGTTGCTGTGAAAGCACAGTAATTTAGTTCAACAAAAATTCATAAGGAGCTCTTAAAACCTTTAAAAAGCAACAGAGGGTCCTGTGGCACCTTTGAGACTAACAGAAGTACTGGGAGCATAAGCTTTCGTGGGTAAGAACCTCATTTCTTCAGATGCACTTCTTCAGTCTTGCATCTGAAGAAGTGAGGTTCTTACCCACGAAAGCTTATGCTCCCAGTACTTCTGTTAGTCTCAAAGGTGCCACAGGACCCTCTGTTGCTTTTTACAGATTCAGACTAACACGGCTACCCCTCTGATTCTTAAAACCTTGACATTAATGTGTATACATGGCAGTTTCACTGTTCCTTTTAACTGTAACAAAGAAATTGGCTTACAAGCTGAGCCAGTTAAGACTTCAGTCTTTGAAGCTGTATAACCAAAAAATTTTAAAGGGGTACATTTTTAAGAGGGTAGGAGCTCCAGCCTCCCTTTCAGCATATGCATATGGAGCTCATACTATTTGAATCTGGAGAAATGAATTCTGGGTGGCAGTTTGAGTACTTATGCCTCTAACTTCCTAATTTGCACCCACAACTGATCTATGCATGTGCAAATTCTGCAGACTCTGATGCCAATATAGTGAATACGGATGAAGACTGAATAAGCTTTTTATTTCAAAACCTCTCTTCTTCCAAACCACCTTATTGCTTATAAAGTTTTACATGTGTCACTTTGAAAGTTTTAAAACATTTTCATTTCAGAGACAAAGAATGACTGGAAAATCATGAGACACTTGTGCATGTTGAACTACTCATGCATGAGTAACTTACAGAAGTGTTTGCAGGAGCAGGCCCTTTTTGAATAAAGGCCTGATCCTTCACTAGTTGACATCAACTTCAATGGAATTTATATGGTGCCTGTTGCATGGACTGGATTGGAGAGAAACAAACAGGATTTTTTAAAAAATAAAACCTACTTTGACTTAATATAGATTAATACGAAAAGTAAAATCAATATATAGATTATTAATACCTATTATCTCTAATTATCCACGTGCAGCTTTCATGGTCAATAGATGAACAGAGTTTTCCTTCCACCAAAGGAGGCTGACTTTTCAATGCTACAATGATATGATCAGGAGAAAACTGTACTTGTATGTCATCTTTAGTGATGTCTTGTGGAAGATGAATTGTTACTGTCAAATCATCTTCAGTCTGTTGCCAATAATAGACCGGGTCTACAAATGGAAACACATATAAATGCAAAGTCAGTTACAAAATGCAAAGTATATCGGGGGGGAGGGAGGAAGAGAGAGAAATTTGGTAAAGTGTGTGTATTCACTTTCTACTCTGAAAACTTCATATGAAAGATATTCTGATCACTTATTAAAAAATAGAGAGGAACAGTTTTCTGGCTACCAGTAGGTATTTGACCAAAGTCCACTTGTGTCTCAGTTATGGAGAGTTACTTACACTCATGTGCACATTTAAATACGCAGGAGTACACTCAGCTGAACAATATAAATATGCACTTGTAGTTTTTTTAACATGGCATTTTTAATTAGTCATAACTTTATGAAATCAATACACAAATTAATTCAAATAAGCAAAATGCACTATGTCTCAGTGAGCATTAATCCCATTATCTAGGTTCAGCACCTTTTGAGTTATCTTCATGAATCCACAGTAACAGTGGTTCTTTGAGATGTGTTGTCCACATATATTCCACTTCTGATACATGTGCCCCATGTGTGTGAGGTCTCAATCTTTTTAAATGCTAGTGTTCACTGGGGCCATGCCTGCACCCAAGTATGCCCTCTGGCACACTGTAGCCAAGGGAATAAAGGGCAGGACAGCTGTAACTAGCCTTCAGCCTCCTAACTGCAGAATCCAGTCAGGAAGGAGGGCGGGTTGTGGAAATGCATGTGTCCATTTAGATACTGTATTAGGAAAAATCTAACTATAGGAGTAGTTAACGTCTGGAAATAGTCTTCCAAAGGAGGTTGTGGAATCCCCAATATTGGCAGTTTTTAAGAAGAGATTTAACACACACCTGTCAGGGATGGTCTTTTTACATGAACTGCCTCAGCACCAGGGGTTGGACTTGACTTCCTGAGGTCCGTTATATCCCTACATTTCTATGACAACAAATCACAAAAACCAGTTACTGTACTGTAAATAACAGTTTTGTTTTTGGAGTGGTTGTCCATATGGATTCCATTTTAGATGACTCATAAGAAGAGATCTCATGTTCTCGAAGTGGGTGCTCAGAGTCTAGTGAGCCCATGACTAAGACAGCTCCGCCAAAGTGGGCATCAGATCTGGAACCCTCTACCAAGGAGTAGTGATGGGTGAACGTGTGAACTGAACTCCAGGTAGCTGCTTTACAAATCTCGACGATTGGAAAGTCCATTAGAGAAGCAGAAGAGGCTTCTTGAGCTCTGGTGGAATGGACGCTAATCTGCGCAGAGGGTCCAGGCAAGCTATTGTACAGCAAAGGCTAATACAGTCCAACACCCATTTAGATAACCTTTGGGTGGTTATTTGTGACCTTTCAGTCAGCATGGATTTGTCAAGAACAAATCGTGTCAAACCAAATTGATAGCTTTCTTAGACAGGGTAACAACCTTTGTGGATGGGGGGAAGCAGTAGATGTGGTATATCTTGATTTCAGAAAGGCTTTTGATAATGTCTCGCCTGCCCTCCTTATAAATAAAATAGGGAAATACAACCTAGATGGAGCAACTAGGGCGGTACATAACTCGTTAGAAAACCATTCCCAGAGAATAATCATCACTGGTTCATAGTTAAGCTGAAAGGGCACATCAAGTGGTGTCCCACAGAGATTAGTTCTGGGTCCGGTTCTCTTCAATATCTTCATCAGTGATTTAGATGATGGCATAGAGAGTACACTTATAAAAGTTTACAGATGATACTAAGATGGGAGGGATTGCAAATACTTTGGAGAATAGGATTAAAATTCAAAATGATCTGGACAAACTGAAGAAATGGTCTGAAGTAAACAGAATTAAATTCAATAAGGACAAATGCAAAGTACTCACTTAGGAAGGATCAATCAGTTGCACACATACAAAATGGGAAATGACTGTCTAGGATGGAGTACTGTGGAAAGGGATCTGGGGGGTCATAGTGGATCACAAGCAAAATATGAGTCAACAGTGTAACACTGCAACAAAAAAAGCAAACATCATTCTGGGATTCATTAGCAGGACCGTTGTAAGCAAGACACGAGAAGTAATTCTTCCGATCTACTCCACGCTGATTAGGCCTCAACTGAAGTACTGTGTCTTGTTCTGGGTGCCACATTTCAGGAAAGCTGTGGACAAACTGGAGAAAGTCCAGAGAAGAGCAACAAAAACGATTAACAGTCTAGAAAACATGACCTATGAGGGAATATTGAAAAAAATGAGTTTGTTTAGTCTGGAGAAGAGAAGAATAAGGGGGGAACTGATAACTGTTTTCAAGTACATAAAAGCTTGTTATAAGGAGGAGGGAGAAAAATTGTTCTCCTTAACCTCAGAGGATAGGCCAAGAAGCAATGGGCTTAAACTGCAGCAAGGGCGGTTTAGGTTGGACATTAGGAAAAACATCCTAACAGTCAGGGTAGTTAATCACTGGAATACATTGCCTAGGGAGGTTGTGGAATCTCCATCATTTGGATATTTTTAAGAGCAGGTTAGACAAACACCTGTCAGGATAGATAATACTTAGTCCTGCCATGAGTGCAGAGGCCTGGACTAGATGACTGATTGAGGTCCCTTCCAGGCCTACGATCCTACAAAAACAAAAATACCACACACCTTTCTAATAGAATTAGCCTGTGCATATTTCTGGCTTCTTTTAGCTACAGCTTTGTGGAAGGTTTGAAATACACATCAGTGAACCACAGCAAATGATTTTATGTGAAAATAATCCACCAACAGTGTTTTCCATAAAATAGCCCACCAATGATCCTGATTAGGATACACCCAATAGGCAAACCAATATGACTACCTGTAGAGAGAACATTATTTTTTTTAAGAGAGGCCCTCTGTGCTAACTGGTACAATCACTCGGCATGTTGATGATGAAAACATTTGGAGGATTTTGTCTTCCTGCTGAGCTAGTGGTTGCCCTTCACACCACTGATCGGCGCATGATGAAGTTAGAATTCAATGAATGTCCCCTTTCCACAGATACTTACAGCTCAATTACTATCTCTATTTCTACATGTTTAATACTCATTTTTCATGCAAAGGCAATGAAAGCATGAATTTTGTGTGTCTTCTGCAGAGCAAAACTTGTCTCATCTCTAGTTGCAAGGCATCTTCTACAATTAAGAAAGGCGAACACCATACACAAAGAGAAATTACATACATAAAATAATATAAATATCTAAATCTCTTTGTCCAGGAAGTAAACATTTACAATGAAATTTAAGACGGTGGAAAAAAAATATTGTAGTGACATATGGAAATTCATTAAATCATCTAGCGTTATTATTTTGTTACAATAAAGGATGGTTTCGTTACAGAAGTCTAGGAAAACATGACCAGAACAAATATTACCTTTCTTTTTATCTGCTATTTTCCCATCTTCCTTTTTTTCAAGCTGATTTTCCTCATCCTGCATAAATTTGAAGGGTTTGTAGGAGACAATCATTAGACCATCCCCATCTGGCTCTATAGCTGCATAATGAGGGACTGACTTTCCTTGGAGAACTCTGCGCTTGAAGATCTCATATCTTTGATTATCTGTAAAAGGAATACAAAAACAGAAAAGTAATATTTTCTAGGAGGAAAAAATTCAATTATAAATGTGACAAATGGATTGTACCTAAAAATAATATATAGCCACAGTCAATTCATAATATTGCAGCCCTGAAACAGCAGTTCATCTCTGTCCTCGATACCAGAGATCTGCTACACAAACCTATATCCAGCAGCCATAGGAGACTGAAATTAATCAGGATTGAAATTAAAGCCCTGTAATCAGGTACACTGTAGGTTTTCCCACCTATTTTTCTAGTCTCCCACATTAGCCACTATTGGAGACATGATAAATAAAGGACTAGATGGGCCATTAGTTTCTTCCAGTATGGTAATTATTTATCATTTGTACTTCTGTATCACCTAGAGTTCCAAGCAGGAATTAGAGCCCAAGTGTGCTAGACACTGTACTACCACCACAAGAAAGACAGTCCCTGCCCCATGCAATTTACAATCTTAACATATGATGAACCAGAAGGTGGGGATGAACAATGGAATGAGGGAGAACAAGTAACAGTGAATCTAATTTGCTATAATGAGCAGTAATCACAGCATGCCCACTGCTTACTCATTCTTAATAATGCAGCATAATTCTTGTTTTCTCCACTACTACATGGAATTCGGCCTTGCTATTGGAAAGTTCTGTTTTTTAGCTTTTAGAAATGGGCTTCTGCTTTCTTGTTTTTGTCAAATTTAAGGAAATTTTAATTTTTAATGGTGTTTGGTCATAAATTCAGTTGTCTTCCATGAGAAATACAGAGCAGAATACCATTTTCAATAATAATTTGCAGAAAATTATATATGCATGGCCAGGTATTTAACTGATAATGCCTTTTACAGATTCCACACAAATCCTGGTTAATGCTAACTGGCCCTTCTTAGTGCAAAATGCTTATCTTGTCCAGCATTTGTACAAAATGTACAGCTAGCAATCCATCCCATGCTGTGCTTCCAACAATATACATTGAGACAAACAGAAGCATAACATGCTTCCCTCTCTGCCTCAACATCTAAATTCACTCAGCTCAATCGTAACTAATCACTTTTGAACAACCATTGATGTCAGAGAAGCTAGCTAAGTATTTTAGACTTTGTTCAAATTCTCTATAGATCATTTATTTCTATTTGTTTTCGATACTCCATATTTAACTTCTATTTCCTTTCATATTAGCCTACTTACAAGTACAATAGTTTATTACCTGACTAACTTAGAAGTCACTGGAAGTAGAGATGTGTTATACAAGGACACATTATTATTTCTCAAAATGTAGTGGTATGGTCTGTTTTTAAGAACAGCAAATACACCAATATGGGCAAATATTTCAGGTCTGCCAAATTTTGTATGCCAAGGCAGTGTCTCAATATAAAGGTTAGACAGATCTTTATACATATGAAAACTGTATTAGAATACATAATGACACACAAGCTAGATAAGTTCAGGCGTGGTCACTACTTGATTATAATGAACCTTTGGTCTGACCCACTATTGCTGTTCTTACGTCCAAGGAAAATTAAGATACTATTAAAGGAAGTAACACCGTACAATAGGTGGCACAATTCAGTAAGAGTCAATATAGATAGGTCTATATTTCAGTTTAAAAGCAAGTTCTCAGAGATGCTGTTACTATCCCTAAACTTGCAATAGTTGGTTTTAAGCCACATGACTCGATCTCTGTACTGATAGGTGGTACAGAGGATATCCCAAGCTTTTTTGAGATTTGTTTGTACACATGATCATATCTTGCATTCTTACTGAAGTAAATGTCTTGCTTGCCTTCCACTAAAGATTGATCAGAATTCATCTGTGTTCCTCATAGTTACAAACACCAGAGTTACAAACTCATTTGGAACCAGAAGTACGCAAATAGGCAGCAGCAGAGACCAAAAAAAAAAAAAAGAAAGGGCAAATACAGTACAGTACTGTGTTAAATGTAAACTACTAAAAAAAAGGAAAGATTAAAAATATTTGACAAGGTAAGGAAACTGTCTGTGCTTGTTTCATTTAAATTAAGCGGGTTAAAATCAGCATTTTTCTTCTGCATAGAAAAGTTTCAAAATTATAAAGTACCATGTTCAGTTGTAAACTTCTGAAAGAACAAGTATAACGTTTTGTTAAGAGTTACGAACATTTCAGACATTATGAACAATCTTCATTCCCAAGATGTGCTACTGTAATTAGTTAGCTTTAAAAACTAGTAGATGAAAGCCTACGCTGTCACACAGGTTTAACCTGTAAAGCCATATGTAAAAAACCCAAAAATGACTGAACTTAATAACTGGACTGTAACAGACCACGAATCCCAGTGATGATTGAACCTCATGATATTCTAAACAAAAAGAGTTCTCAGCCATGCTTGCAGCTGTTTTTATCACGTCACACTGACATAGGCTGGGTCTACACTAAAAAGCTAGACAACCCAACTATATTATTAAGGGGTGTGAAAAATCCATACCCCCGAGTTATGTAACTAAGCTGACCTAATGCCTGGGGTAGACAGCCCTAGGTTGACGGAAGAATTCTTCCATTGACCTAAACTAGTACCTCTCGGGGAGGTGGATTACCTTCGCTGACAAGAGAACCTCGCCTATTGGCATAGGTAGTGCAGCTGCTCGGCAGTTCTAGTGTACCAAGGGTAGACAAAGCCTCAGATATTCTAGGCTTCAGAGTGCTGTTTGGGGTTATTGTGTATGCTGGGTAGATTGTGCCAGGAGATGTGTTGATTGGTGTGAGTGATAGTTGGGTGCTGAATATGGCAGTTAAGGCAAATAATCTAACATCAGTGCAGTCTCCCTCATACAGCTCATGAAATTGTTAGCTGTAGAGCAGGGGTTCTCAAACTTCATTGCATTGTGACCCCCTTCTGACAACAAAAATTACTACATAACCCCAGGAGGGGGGACACTGAAATCTCAGTCCGCCCGAGCTCTGCCGTCCTGCCAGAGTGGGGAGGGGGGGACAAAGCCAAAGCCTGCAGAGGTGGGACAAAGCCCAAGGGCTTCAGCCCCAGGCAGGAGACTTGTAACCTGAGCCCTGCCACTCAGTGGGGCTTGGGCTTTGGCCCCGGGTCCCAGCAAGTCTCACGCCAGCCTTGGCAACCCTATTAAAATGGGGTTGTGATTCAATTAGGGGTCCCAACCCACAGTTTGAGAACCACTGCTGTAGAGTAAGAGTGGGGATTGATTGAGTTAACGTTGACATCACAATGGTTAAAACTCTTGGCGTGGCCTAGGAACATGCCTTACTGTAGCTGTATACTACATGGGTGTAATTCATAAAGCCCAAATGGCTGAGAATTTAAAAATTATATAGTAATAGACTTTAAAATGCAGTGATGATTCAACCTGGTGATAGCTCTCAACCATGCTTCCATCACATCACATTGATTCAAAGTACATTCTAGGCTTCTGAGTGACAATCCTAGAATTTTATTATATAGATTATAAAGCATGTATTGTGGTTATCTACTTAAACATGCTGTCATCTGGTTACCAAAAGATGTTTCAGAGGTCTAACAAAATATAAAAAAACCTATCAAGCAATTGGACCATAAACAAGTGATATTTACTAGTGTTAAAAACAAAAGCAAAAAACAAAAAAACCACACACGCACACATAGTTCATTTGCACATAAGGCAGTCAGAGCTCTGAAATTCTCTCTCTACTGGGACACATCTGATACACAGAGAAGCACTACAGACATATTTTGACTCAGATACCAGATACATTAGATACCTGGAAACTAGTTAAAACAGAGAGTTCACAGTCTAAACTTGGCATTTCCTCACTTTTTGTTTTGGTTTCTATTAGGCTTCACATCCTCTGATTTATACAGATTTAGTGATTATGAATCAACATTCCTTATGAAAGGGTAGAAACACACTTTTCCCTCTAACGGGTAACAAATATAGAAATTTTCACACAAGAAAAAATTTACACACCAAACAGTAACTATGTCTAGACACTTCAGTGTGTGTGAGATCTAGATTTATATCTTAATTTCATCCAGTCTATCAAAGTAGTGATATGAATACATTTTCAAATGTGGACAACCCCAGATATGAGCAGTATAATTAATAAGAAAAAGAAAAGTTTCCTATGATATTTAAGGGAAAAGAAATATGTATACTGACAAAAATGTGATTAAATAGCAGTTGCTCCTGATTTAAAACCTTAAAGTTTTGCCACTGATCAAGTTTTATACTTCCTTCTAAAAAGGACAGTACTATAATATTTGTTCTAGGTTTAGAGAATTTAATTGCTTACTATAAAAAGATTGGTTGAAAGATTATAATTTTTCTTATTAAATTTTGCTGCATGCTGAAGATTGTAATTTAGTTTTCAAATGCTTAATCACACCTTTTTCCATCATTGAACTTTATAATTAGAATATATCAAAATTATTCTTAATGAAATGTTAAAGGAACAATGCTAAGCTAGTGCAATACACATTCAGGAAATGCAAAAATGTAAGAAAAACGTAAGTGTGACAATGTTGCACAAGGAAAGTGTATGTAATATGGCCAAGTTAACGAACATCTACCTGTATTTCCTAATCTCTATGAAGCATGCATAATTCTTGAGTGCAACAACAGCACTCAAAGAAGTGCATAGTTAACAGAGCCAGTAGAGCAGTACAGAATTTATAAGCTCTGTACAGGTGCATCTGAACTCAGCAAGGAGCCAGTGGCGGATTAGTCACTGGGCCAACGGGGCCCATGCCCAGGAACCCTGGCCAATTGGGGGGCCCTGGAAAAGGGCTTTCCCGCACCCCGACCTGCTCCACCTGCCCGGAGCTCCTGTTGGGGAGCGGGGGAAGCCCCTGCGCCCCGACCCCTATCCCCAGCAGGAGGGCGGGATGGGAGGGGGAGGGAAAACTGCATGCAGAAGGAGTGGGGAGGGGCCCCCACTTTGCTCTGGCTCAGAACTCAACAAAAGCTTAATCCACCTCTGCTAGGAGCAGCTAGCAACCTGTTTCCCACCAGGA